ACAGATGAAAACCTTAACTTTCTATTGGTTATAGGTAATATATAATAAAATGTAAGAGAGAACTATTAACAAATTGTGAAAGAGAGGATGCAACAGGTGGGTGTGGGTGGAGGGGCCTGATTTTCTATTCAATAGCTCTGTAATCAAACAAAATTGAAGACCGGTGATGGATAAAATACAGATGATGGTGGGTCACACTAGTGGAAATTCAGGATTTTTTTTTATATTCCTTTTCAGATTAAAATATGGATTATTAGCTAAGATTTTATGCTATTCTAATTGATATAACTTAAACAAAAAGTAGTATAATAAAATTTTGAATGAAAGACACTAAAACCTTGTGTCATGCTCAGTAAAGGATACCTGGGGCAATAGGGTTAACTACTTTTAAACTTTTTTACCAACAAAAGTAAAATATGTAGTTTACCTGTTTTAACTCTGCTATGGACATAGGTTCTATGGTAATTTTCCTCCATAAGTTATTTAAATGGTATACATGTCCATGAACTTCAGAATGAACACCATCACGAGTCACCAACAACCTAGATAAAGTATATAAAATATTCAGCCATTTCTATCAAAATCAAGTCTACTACCTCCATTTATACATAATTAAAACTTAAAAAATGAATTTGGTTTCACATAATAATTGACAAACATACTAATTTTACTATCAATTAAAAGAGCTCTTAATACCAAATATTGTTTGGGAAACTAAATAACAGTAAACCAATGTTTACTGACTTGTGATATTTTCCAAATCAAGTTAATGAGAATGAATGGATGTGCTATTTTGGATGACTGAAACTTGTTAACTTGATTCATAAATTGGCATTAACGTCTGTGCTTTCAGCAACTACCATTTTTTTACTGCATGATTACTTTATTTTGAGGAGATATCTTTGTGATGCCACATTTAATTATTAAAATGAACAAACCTTTGTGTAGCAAACAGCTGAAACCCTGGTATGGCTTTGATTGGCTCAGCTTGACCGGGAAGAAGAAGAGTTTTAGACTCAAGAACCGAGACTAAATATGATATGACATCCATGGGAGCATAATCAATATCTTCCAGCAGGAGCCAATAACCTTTAGTCATAGCCTCTGTTAGTGGTCCAGGTCTCCAGGTGAATTCTCCTGGAACTTCAGTACAGCAGTGACTACCTATAAGGAGCTGTAACACAAAATTATTCAGTTTCTCTTTGTGATAATGCATGATAATGTTATGTCAATTTTTTTTTGTCTAGAACTACCAAACATTAAATATGAGTTTTGAGGTTATCTTTGAAAATGGAATAAATAAATAAATATAAAAACAAGGAAATAATTATTTACAAGGATTCTTTTTTCAATGCCTCAATTTTCAACCTGGAACTTCTCTAGGTAATTTGAATGGAGAGTATGTCAAAACAGAAATAAACAACATTAATTAAAATAACAAGAATATTTATAAACAGATACGTAACTTCTGATTATTCTACCTCTATATAAGTTGTAGGAAAACAGAACATAAACTGATAGCTGCTACAGATTCTTTACTAAATTCAACAGATTCATGATGTGACCATGTCAAATTAAAGTTAAGATTTTCTCATGGAAGAATAAATCTATTTTTTTTTGTTGAAATAATGATTACAGCAACATAATTATGTCAAAACAACACAACTGTACTCTAGCAGCATACCACAACTGTGTCATAATAACTTATGAATATTCCAAATTCTAATGTATAAAACAGATGCAAAAACAATGATTGCTTCTTAATTTCTAAAATGACAATCCAAAGAACTTCCAGATACTTTCTATTATGTAGATCACTCCAACTATTTTTTTAACATTTTAATGCTTACAATAGTTGAACAATACTTAGACAGGGCTATATTAAATGTTTAATAAAGATAAATATATTTTGAATAAGAATAAGTTCTGTGATTCTTAACTGATATATCACAAAGTTTATCTTGTTTTAATGAAAAGGTTATTTTCCTTATCCGCAATCTGTAGCCGACATTAACCAAGACTTCAGGACCAAAAAGCTGTGTGTGTGTGTCTATATATATAGTCATAAAATGTAAATTTTTATGCTTTAATGAAAAAAAGTTTTCTAACTTTTCCATCTGTTTGGTCCCCTAAGTGTACTTTCAGTAAATAAGGAGGTCTATCTCTTCCAGTCTCTGCAGCCATGTACTCAATTAATGTAGTTTTCCCACATCCTACAGGTCCCTGTAAGAGCACAGCATGTCCACCTGCAATGGCCAATGCCAGGTCACGTAGAACTTTTTTCAAAGAGGGTACAGGTACTAGGAAACCTTTCTGTGCTTGCTATTGAAAGGAACCAAACATAAAGTAAATATAAAATCTCTAAGTGGATAAGTAACGTACTGTAGACAAACATTATAAAATAAACATGTAATAAAACAAAAATATGGTATAAACAAATAATCTTAAGGTAGCATATACCCTTTAAATGTCAAAAATATCTCAATTTATTTGTTTGCATATTTTGAATCCTTGTTTTGAAGCACTTTTAGCTAATTTGTCTGTTATTCTCCCTGCTTACCAAAATGCTGCATTCTTGCTACCCCCTTTAAAGTAATGGACTGTGCCAATAACCTTTCATTGATGAGTCAATGACAAAGGTCAAACTCTATATGTTGAAAAAAGAAAGTGCTTTTAGTAATTCCCATATTCTAACTTGCCATCAAAAGAGTTTATTCCTGTGATAAATCCTGAATATTTAAAGATGGACATAAAGCATGGTCCTCACACACCAAAGAAGAGGAAGTTTCATGGTAACAGGTTCACCAGAAACAAATAACTGAGTCAAGAGAAGACTGATAAGCTTAGTAACAGTACAACTGAATCATTTGAGTTGCCACAAATTGTTGGTACTCATAGTGCAAGTACCAATTCTGCAACGTTAATAACATCACAAAACAATTCTCTGACAGTTTTACCTTTACCAATGCATGACATAGCATACATAAATTTTTTGTTAGTAGCAAATGAGTTTTTTTCACATTTTTGTTTTACTTGTATCTCAAACTTTTTTTTTATGACAGTTCATTTCTTTGCACACAAATTTTTAGTAGCAGGTCCACTTCTATTGGCCATTTATAAGCTCAACTTTTCTTCACACGAACAGTGACAAAATTCACTTGTTGCTTCTGACAGAACGTCCATATCAACAAATATATTACCACTTTGAATACAGTCTTGTGTAATCTCTTCTTTTCTTTGATGGGGTCTTTTCAGAAGCATACAAATGTCCAAATTTTCTCTTAGAAGCACTTTGCACCATTGAATCTTGTTCAGAAATTGAAGTGAATCCACCAAGTACACAAAAGTCTTGGGACAAGCATTTCATATTTGTTTTGAATGTTACTGAAACAGTTGCTAATGAATGCATGAAGAAAAGCTGCTGAATATTTGCAAAAAATGGCAAAGTTACTGAAATATCTGTGACGTGTGATAGTAAATGGCAGAAACAGGGCTACTCTTCCTTATATGGTGTTGTCACTGATCTTTCAAGTAAATCTGGGAAAGTAATAGATTATGAACCACTGAGTAGGTACTGTCATTCCTGCTCTTCAAACAAGAACAGGACAGCAAAGAAGAAAGAGGAACATAATAGAGTTTGCTTAGCAAACTATGGTGGTTTCGTGCCATCAATGGAACCAGCAGGTATGGTGAACACCTGAGAAGGAAAGAGGCTTCAGATACACAATGTAGATTGGCAATGGTGACAATAAATCCTTCCATACAGTGAAGGAGTCAAGATCATATGGAGAAAAAATTGTAGAGAAAAAAAAAATTGTGTGTAAGGCATGTTCAGAAAAGGAAAGAAACAGCTTTGCAAAATCTGAAAAAAAGATATAAAAGGTAGAGAGCTCAGCAATGGCAAAGGAATAAGGGGTGCTGGCAAACTTACTGATAAGGTTATGGATAGTCTACAGAACTGGTATGAGAGAGCTATACATTAAAACAAAGGTGGTCTGGAAGGAATGCGGAATGCAATCTTGGCAATTTGGTACCATAAAATATCAACCAACATCAAACCCCAGCATCACTTGTGCCCTACTGGTGAAGATTTTTGGTGTAAATTCCAAAAAGCTAAGGCCACCATCTCAGAATATTCACACAAACATTCCATGCCAGAGAGTGTAATGAAAGTCATCAAACCCATCAATGAAAGGTTATCTAGTGATAAGCTCCTGAAAAAATGCTTAGATTGCATCACTCAGAATGCTAATGAGTCTCTAAACCATATAATATGGAATTGTTGCCCCAAGGACACCTTTGTCAGTGCAAACTGTATAAGATGGGCTGCTGCTGTCAGTACTTTCAATGATGGAATGAGGTCAAGGAAGAAGGTACTCGAGCTACTTATGTCAATGACAGAAGTTTTACCAACAAATTCTTTGCTAATGCAGACAAGAAGAGGTTATCTGAAGCACAAAACAAAGCTTCTGTGAAATGTGTAAAACAGTGGCAGATAAGAAGAATCGTCAAAAAGGGATTTGAGAAATCCAAGAAAGTCAATTAGGGTGATCTCATGCTCCAAGAGCTTATAATTACCCAGAAACATATTAAGGGTGTATGTTTCACAATTTGTAGGATGTGATATACTTTTTTCAACTAGACAAAGACCCTTAAAGTGACAATTTAGTGGTTTTGATAGAAATGAATATAAACCCTATAACACGAGCACTTTCGAAAAGGTCCACCTTTCGAAAGTGCTCGAGTTATAATGTTTCTATTCATTTCTATCAAGACTTCTAGAACCTATGTGTTTTTCTAACATCATGTATTTAGTGGTTTTTAACTCATAACTTCAGATCTGTTGATGCTATAGACTTCCCAGTTGGCATAAATATGCATTATTAGTGTATCTATAGTGTGTACTAAAGTAAGGTTGATAGGAAGTTTGGTTTTTATTATTAAATGATCATTTACGAGTCACTGTAGCATATGTCATAATTAGGGCATGCTCATTAGTGCTGTAATTTGACCTTGAATTCATTTTCAGTTTTCCTTAGTTCTGACTAATTCTTCACATCCCATCAAAGTCTGGACCCATTTTCAAAAGCAGTCAGCCATGTTTGTAGAAGTTATCAGGAACATAAGACATTTCTTTTGTATTTCCATATTTTCATAATATGCAAATTAGTAGCCACAGTGGTAAAGTTACACAACATGTGCCAGAATATGTCTTTGTACCTATTTCAATACATTTTCATACAAAAATGTATAGTAGGTATGAAGATATATTTTTATGATAAAAATGTCAAAACCTAGATAACACTATGTAAAGGGTATACACAACCTTAAATAAAAAGAATATTATGAATATTAAAACATTATATAAGTATGTATGTATGTATGTATGTATGTGTGCACACACATAATGTAGTAAACAAAAATAAAACAGTAAATAAATCCTGAAAAATATAGACGAAAAAATAAATAATATGGAAAAGTAAACAACCATTGTAAACA